ATTGTGAGGTGACTGGGTAGGATGTAGTGTGTCGAGTAAATTGGAGTTATATGCTTTATTTAGAGGTGAGTCTTGTGTAGCAGTGAATTATTGTAAGCAGTGGCGTTTTCATTTCAAGAATACGTGTCCAATGAGCTTAAGTGGTTTTCTATTTGATCCTTGAATAGTATTTTGGAAACTTGTGCATTGAGTGTTTATTTGCATAATTGAGGATGTGGGTGATTCTTTGTTGAATAGTCATAAGAGGAGTTCATCCTCATTAGCTTCCTTAGGAGTTAATGAGTATGATAGGTTTCTTGATTGTATGATTAGTAATCGCTAGTGTGGTCGTAGGACTATATGGCTATTTGACGAGTAGCATTGGTGGTGCTCGTCGGGGACGGTTTTATGTGTATCCTTGGGAATTGTAAGGAGCTCGCATATTGGGGTGTTGAACGATTTTGTAACCGCTAACCATGTGAGCATGTGACGTTGTTACAAATGGATTGTGTGCGGTGTTGCAGGTGGGGTCTACCTCGTATGGAACCCAACGGATGCCCAGTATGATGTCTTGGATCACTTTTGACCTTGAGTTTAATAGTTTCCTTGATTTCGTGTATGTGAGACAGCTAGTTGGGTATGGTGATGATTTGGGTTGAGTGAGTTACCTTAGAAATAAGTGAACTTATATAGATTGATGAGGATCCTCATTTGATGATATAATATTGACAGGTAGTTATGTTAAGAGAATGATGATTTTAATGGATTTGATTGGTTGAGATCTTGGTGGAGTCGTGGTATTTGTACTGGGACCTGTACCTTGTATGCTTAGTGGTTTCCTTGAGGGTGTGGTTGGCATCCTTAATTATAATGAGGGATAATATAGAGCTTTTGTCTAGTTCAGTGTGTACCCTTACGTCTAATTTGTTGTTTTTGGGGGTAAGGCAGCAGGTGACTGGTAGTCATCATTCATTGAGGATATGTTAGGTCATAAGCACCGGATTGTTAATGACATTAAAACGTAGGTTTCGTGTGATCCTGATTCTATGGTGGAGTGTGTTGTATAGGGTACTTCGAGACGTACTTCACTTAATGTATCATGTTGTCCTTCACATGTGGGGTGACTTGATTTCAGTGATGAAATCCTTGTGAGTTGGGGAAATTGTGACGTTTCGTAATTTTTTATTTTTTTGGTATTTTTTGAATTTTTAAATTTTTCACTTTGTTTTGCATGCCATGCACTGGTTAGCATGCTACGAAGGTTCTGAGTGAGGTTTGGTGCATTTCTTTGAACTTAGAACTCTTAGAAATGCATTTATAGTCTTTTACTCATTTTTTGGATTTTTGGGCCAAGAAGTACTAAGTGGGTCCCGCACCCGGATTTTTCGTACTCGGGATTATTTTTTGAGATCATTACATTTCATATATATTTATTTGGGGTGTATCCATGTGGCCAGTTATGTGTTATATTTTGCATTTATAGCATGTGTGTATATGCAAGGAATGGGTGTTTTAGTCATTTTTAGAGTCAACCGGGGCCAGCATTGACTAACCATTTCATAAAGGAGCAAATGACCAATTCTTGATCATTCTTCATCCACCATTTCTGCCGAAGCTTTCTCTCTCTCTCTCTCTCTCTCTCTCTCTCTCTCAAATCTCTTTTTCTCTCTCTAAACCACACTTTAAAGCTTGGATTCACTTTTTTCCACTTGGAATTGAACTTTGCCATTGAAGGCAAAGTTAACGAGCACAACAAGGGCTACGATTTGATAAGAATGAATCTTTATTTGTGTTATTTTGGAATTTCAAGATTTGGGTCAAATTTAGGGCTCTGGCTTGATTTTGAGGTTGGGGTTTCTAAAGCTCAATTTCTTTGGTTCTTGTAAATTATCTTCATAGTATTTGTACCATAGCATTTTAATTTGTAAGTTTTGTTCATGGTTATTAAGGCATATATGTGTGTGAAGCATGATTGTTGTACTCTATATGACAATGTGTAAATTTACGTGTTATTTGTAGTATTGTGAAGATACATGCTTGAATAACATTATTACATGCTTTACATGTTTAAAATGCCATGAATGATGAGTTGATTGTATAAGAAATTATTATATTAATTATCTCCAAATCATGCAAATATGATTGCGGTTCAATGTATGAATTCCCATGTTGACATGACATTGAAATGCATGTTACATTCATGCATTGACATTGGGTAAGAAAAAGGGAACTTGATTTTTAAAAGAAAAATTGATTTTGGAAAAGTTTTGAAAGGAAGTTTGCGAAAATCGGATGGTAAGGAGTAACCTTGTGTCCGTGGCGTTAATGGAACCTAAAGGAGACGTAGGGAGATTGCCCTCCGAGTGGTTGAGTTACTTATGCCCCAAAAACGCTAAGGAGTTACCTTAGGTTGGGGATAGTTAGCCAACCCTCCTCTCATGGCACTGGGGAGTCATCTCGGGCCGGGTTACATTAACGGTTTGGTGGTTATGGTGTTGGAAAGGATTTTAGAAAATTAGGAGAGACATTGGCATTGCATTAGCATTGCATCTCATTATATTTATGGGACTTAGATTACATGATTGTTTTTTCCCAAAATAATCATGATCCTCTTTCCTTTATTCTATACTTTGTATGTGATTCACATAATCATTAAGTAGTGCGTTTTAGGCACCTCCTACTGAGCCATTGTGTTCTCCCCTAATTATCATATTTCAAGTCATGGAAATGAGGTGGTGGATGATTTCCCCCCACAATCTTAGATGGGATTAGAGGGACAATTTGATTTCTTTTGTAATCAATGTAAATTTTGTAAAGCCTTGTGCTAAACTTGTATTATTTTGTAATCGTTGCAATGTCATCAGAGCTTTACTCTTTTAGGTTTGTATTTATTAATTCTAAATATTATTTTGTAATCTAATGTATGGTGTGGAATATTTGTGAATGAATTTTAATTCAAAAGCGGGTTTTATGTAATTTTATTTTACAACCTATTTTTGGGTAATGAGACCTTGAAATTATAATTATGTACTTTTGGGACATGTTTTACATCTTATATATGGATAAGCCTAAGTCTATATTTGTATTAGGATATTTTCACGTAAGTGTAATATATATATATGTGTATATATATATATATATATATATATATATATATATATACGTACAATGGTGTTATAGTATCATTTCAGTGGTGATTTGGTGGTATGGTAGTGGTTGAGATTCAGTATTGCAACTTGGTGGAGCAATTAAAGGAGCAATGCTTACAAGGGAAAGTAGGTTTCGGTCAACATGTTCATGCCTACACGTGGATCGGTATGTGAACAGTAGCCAAAACATTGTTGTTAGGACAAACCGATCAACATGTAACCACTTCACGTCAATCGTTATCCTTCAACCGGTCAAAGTGTAACCGACTTCACGTCGACCGATTCTTATAACCTGCCACTTCTATTTTTCCTTTCCTATACTACCCCTCTTACCCTCATTTGATGACCTACGTACATTGTATTAATGGTGTTTGGGAAAGTGAATGATTGTTGACCTACTATGAGTCCTCGGGTTCAGGTAAGGACCTAGAGAACGATTTGGACCCACGGGTTTTGGTCGTTACACAATGTATCCCATTTAACAAGTCGACAAGTAAGGATCATAGAGGGATCGTAACTCATATAAAGCACCTTATCATAAAACGACTACCACGGAATTAAAAAGATAACAAGGTCTACATAACTCCAAGAATTATGAATTCAAAACTATACATAGACTCCACTATGATGCAACTCACACATGTGACGCTATGATGCAAAAGTGATGATATGTCGGAATTATATTCCGCTCTTTAAAACATATTGGTGCACTTCCGCACCCTATTGGTCAATATTCATAGGGACTCTTAACCCTCGGAGGCGATGTCCACTTTTTCAAAGTTCGGATAGCGTATATCCTTCAATTTATGTCATGCATGTTGTACACATATAACTTCTAAATCCTTAAACCAAATGAGGACCACTATGTACCCATATCCAAAATGGCACTCACACAATGATTCACACATAAACAATAATAGCTCAATAAATCCCAATGCTAAAACAAAGTCTAGACTACTCAATAGCCATTCAATCAAGTCCTTAAAATGTTTACTAACACATATACACACAAACATCTTCAATATCTTTATTTCAACATAAATCATGCTTAGATAAAAATAAGACAACTAATTACTCAAATTCCCCCCATTTCTATCATGCTTGACATTTCTAAACTCGATATAGACACAAGTAATACAAGGGTGACAATATAAATACTTAGCATGATACATAATACATATATAGTCAAATTAAGCGTAGCTCACATATACAACTTGCAATTAATCATGGTTTACATATATCCACATCCACAAAATGTAAAGAAATTGTAAATTACTAGCATAAGACACCCCTACCTCAATTTGAGGTGAATACCTCAAATGATACCAAAACAAAATCGCACCAAAAGTGATGCAACTTTGGGGTTACGTCAGGGACAACGAGAAGAACAACTAATCCTCTTGTGGCACCTTCCAAATCCAAACCTGTGCTCAAACCAAAATCTCAAGAACAGTCCAAACGGAAAACTAATTGGATGAAAAGATGGCCTTTACCAAGGCCTACATAAAACTCTTCAATGGCAAGTAAAGAATCAAAGGTTTAAACCACCCTCACACTTAAAGGTGTCCGAAAATGAAAATATGGGCATGGGTTTTGAAGCCTTTAGTATCCCCAACCTTTCTCCCTCTTATGGCAAGCCCAAATGGTAAGTGGAAGGCAATGTAAAGCAAGCTTTAAGCTTGGCTAACAATAAAGGAGGGTTAGAGAGAGGAAGAAGATAAAGATTAGGGGAAAAAATGGCTAAGAAAGATGATATATATAAACAAACACACACTCTCTAGCACTACCTCTATCACACACACACACATCTCCACCCTCCACATGTCACCATCCTAGCCCCTCACATGTCACCAATCTCCTTCCAACACATGTCTCTAACTTTCCTAATTGCACAATAGTCCCTCGAAGAAAATATCTAAAAAGATAATCGCACTATTGTCCCAAATGAAAATATCTCCAAAAGATATTCGCATAAAGGCTTCCAAAAAAGAAAATGTTCTCAAACTTAATTGCACATAAAACCCTAAATAATAAAAGATGAAACAAAAACAAGTGCAACACAAATTGTAAATGAAAGAACTGTCGAGAACTATTCCCGAGCATTTGACTCGGTCCCGTTCGACAAGACTTGAACCCCAAAAAAAATAAACGGAAAAAAAAAAATTTCAGAAAAATCAAAAAAGGGACCGGTTTCTACAAATCATGTTTAGTAAAATACTTTTATTTTTTATCTTTTAGGAAGTACTTTCATATCTAATGAAGAAAGAGAGTGAAGTTTTCTTACTTTGTATGCTTTCTCTGCTGTAGCGGAGAATTACTTCTAGCTACTGTAGCGGAAGGACCAACTTAAAAATTTACGCAATTAAATATCGTTATAACACAGATTCTCTCTCACGCAAAACCCCTTTCTTTCTCTTATGCATTGCAAACCCCTCTATCTATCATATTGGTGACACCACAACCATCAGTCGATCAGCAACATCACCCACAACCATCAGTCGATCAGCAACATCACCCACAACTAGTCGATCAGTGACGCCACCAACAACCATTCAATCAGCAACAACGATGACAGGGTGAGTTCTCTCTTCTTAGATCTGGGACTTTTCTCTCTCATCCTCATTTCTATTTCTCTCTCCTCATATGTATAAGTTCTCTTTCTCTCTCATCCTCATACCAATTTGGTTCTGTATCTGTGCATGATTTTATCCTAGATTATATCAAATTGCATTGACATTTGATTTTTCATTTTCAAATTCTTCCTTTATTCACAGGTTCCATTATTCTCAACTCCTGATGGTTGACATTCTCCTTTTTCATGCTCTATGCTTGACAAATTGCCCGGAAGAACTAGTATGGAAGAGTTTTAAGGTTTAAGGTTTATCTCTTTGTCCCATATGAATGGGATTAGCCACATAAATATATATATATAGTTTGATAAACTAGGGTCAAAGAAGATGTAGCCAAGTTTCTTATGTTTTTCTATTCATTGTATGCAGTGATGGGTCTTCATTGAAGGCAGCCCCAACTAAATTTTTTTTTTTTTTTTTAGTAATTTATTCTTATAATTTGTTCATTTTTAATAATATACATTTTTAATAATATACATATAAAATATTACATTTGTCCTCCTAAAATTATCGAAAAAATATACTACTACCCTCCAAAATTCATTTTTACCCCTTTACTTTTTATCCGTGATAGTATGTAATATTATATAAACTTGTACATTCAAGTGTTACTACAATCAACTTGAATTATATAAGGTATGCATATGCTTTTCTTGACTTTTCATAATGATAAGTACGTTGATCTACATTAGGTGGTGTATTCTATGGAATCAAGTAATATAATATTATTCCAACCGTTATAAACAAAAATCTATCTGCTATTTTTTACAGGTCTATGGCTTCTTATTGCATTGGAGGGACGGTGGATAATATGGCAAAGATACATGTAATGCATATAGTAGATGACAACTCGTGAAGCCAACATTTAAGACAAGACTTGAAATTATATATCTAGGCAACTTCTTCTTCTTCTTCTTCTTCTTCTTCTTTTGTTTTTTGTCTTCTTCTTTTTGATAGGAGATAGAAAAAATAATCCTTTTTTTAGAATGTATATAACCTGAAATTGTATGATTTTGTATTAATCACAATTTCAAATATTAATTAATGATACGAGGCACATGAGTATATGTAGTCTGGTTAATTTATATTCAAGCGATGGGCATAGCTACAGAAACCATTTAAATTATTAGTGTTTGAACAAATTCATGACATTCTTTGCACAAGTGAGAAATTTATCATGTTTTCAATTTGGATATTCTAGAACAGAAAAAATTACAAGTATTCCCGCAATTTAGAAAACAAAAGCAAAATCATGATTATTGAACTTGATTTCTACTATCCCACTTTCAAAATTTTCAAAATAAGAGGTTTTGCTGAACATGAACATGACTACCTTTTGTTTCAGCTCTAAGAAATCAAAATCATGATTTTTCTTTTGGTGAAAGTAAAAGTAAGATATTAACATGCCAGTGGCTTAGCGATATCAGCCTCTTACTTCCCAAAGGGGAGGTTAGGAGTTTAAATCTTAGTATAGACGTGTGTGTGAGTACCAACTAAAAAAACAAAAAAAAAAAGAATTACTTCATGTTTGTAAATGGGCAAGTTGGGGCTACTCCATAAAATGAGGAACAGGAAAAGGAAATTGCATATCAAATAAAAAAACAAATCCATAAAAGCAAATCTCATGCACACTAGGGTACAAGCCCTCTATATTATAGTCAAAATATTTTACATTAAAATAAACTGAGCCTAAATAAATAAATAAAATTAAAAAATAGGAGATATTAGTCGTAAATGAAATATGTATAGGACTTATTTGTCTTTTAAAAGAATAAAAAATATAAAAATAAAAAAATAAGAAGAAGAAGTAAGACTTCATGGTAATTTTAAAAAAAATTCAAAATCAATCAATACCGGTGACCATGGGCCAAACGGTGAGTTTCTGACGTACACACAGAATAGCAAGACTACGGTAGCCCATGCCCCGTCCATCCAATTTCTCTACCTTTGTTCCAACAGTCAAGGCCCAACAATTGTAGATTAAATCCTAGAATTATAATTAAGCAAACACCGATAAATAATCACTTAATTCGGGATAAATTAATATGGGCCTATGCAAACATGTAAGATTAGCAAGGGCCTTGAGGTTTAAGTAGCATCTAGTTCAAATAATGAACAAAGTGGGATGTGTATAGTTTCTTGCGAATGAAAAAATAAATAAATACAAAATTACATTTATACTTTATAAATTTAAAAATAAAAGAAAAAGAAAATAAATAAAATTGGTTAATCCAGTCACACTCGATCAAAACTTATCTCAAATCAGTTGGGGTGTGTTTGGCAGCACCCTATGGGCTTTAAAATTTAGAATTGGGAGTTCTAATTTTGTTCCAAACTAATCTAAATTTAGAACTACAATATAAATTCAATAATTATTCTATTTAAGGGTGCAGAAAATACTTCTAATATATACTCGCATAGCACCTTGCATTCATATTTGAAAAAGTGTGCTAATAATCCTTTATTCTTTTAACTTTGTGCGAAAATACTCAAAAATAAAATTTGACATAAAATATTGTGTAATATTCGTTTTATCCTTTTACTTTTTCGAAAATATTTAAAGGGGTGTATATGTTAATAATCTCATTGTATAAGGGTGTTATGTGCACATTTAACCTATTTTTTAAAAAATTCTCTCACCTTTTTAAAAAATAATAATAATAAATTTCTATCATTATCTCTCCCTGAGTTAAGAGTAATATATTTCATAAAACTTAATGTCACTCATAAGTTTGAAAGTTTTAATATATGTATTTATTTTACTAATTAAATAGAAATAATAAAATATCTCAAAAAATTAAATATTTTTGTTCTCACAGTTGTCATTAATGGAGAGTAGATGAATGAAAATCCCAATTCTTTTTATAATTATAAAAAATAAAAATAAAAATTATGATTAAATTTAATATAATTATCATTTTTCATTACATATATAATTAAAAAAAATAAATTAAAAATACTTATTCATTATATATATATATATATACACACACACACAACATATCAAAAAATAGGTGTTCAAATTAAAAAACAATAAGAATTTTTAGGATAAAGTACCGAAAATACTCCTATAATATGTTTAAAATGCACATCACACCTCTCATGCTCTAAACGATGGGTTTATTTTTATCATTTTACAAAATATGTATTTTTAAATAATATACTCCGCACTGTAACCATATTATAGGATTGTGTTTACCGAACTACCCTTCTATTTAATTGTTTATTTGTTCTTTGAAATTGAAATTGCATTGGTCCAATTCCAAATAACGGTTCCGTCCTACGAATTTGGTATGAAATTGATATTCATTTTAGATTCCACGTGTCTATCGAAATTTGGGATTAATATTTTTAATTCCAAATCATCGTGGAATTCCAAATCTGGACTCCCCGGGCTCTCTCGACTCTCGGCTCACTCCAAACCCTGACTCCATAGCAGAGACTTCGAAAATCAAGCCTAGCAAAGTGAATAAAGAAGCTTGGCGTCGCAAAGGAATGCACTTTCCGAAAGAAAAAAAAGTGAATAAATAAGCTTAGGTAAGGCTCCTAACTATTCTTTGACCTCCATATTCAATTGTATCTAGGGTTTTGATCCCTAGGTTTCAATAAGCTTTGTACTTTGTCTCAAATCTGATATTGATTGAATCTTCGAACAGCTTTGGCTTCGGTTAACTCATATGTGACTCATAGCAGATTCGCTCTGTGGATTCTACTTTTTCAGGTTCCACACACTCTATATGTGTATTGCATGTAGATAGGCCCAAATGTGTGTATATATCATACATGTATATGTATATGTGCAATAATATATGTAACTTGCTTCTTTTTTTACCCCTTTATTGTTATTCCATTTTCATGGGGAATTGGTTTCTGAAAATTACATGAATGTGTGACAAGTCTTTTAATTGTTCTGCAGTAGTTCATATTTTCAATTTCTTATAGACTCTAATGTTTATTCTAGTATGGGTTTTCTCTTTTAAATTTTGTTTCAAATAAAATATTAGAACATTCTGAAATTTTTCAATAACTATTCATGTCCCAAATAGTATAGATAAATAGTATAGATATAAGATTGTGACTCTTTTTGTGTGTATTTGTTTCTTACTTTTGTTGTCACGAGGACTGACAAAAGCAGAGCAACTTGAATTCTTTTACAAATTAATATCACTGTTCTTTATAATCTATGTATTCGATTGCCTGTTGCCCGCACATGTTCTTACTAATATATTTCTTATATATATATATATATACATAAATATATGCACACTTGCTAGAAATACATGATTGGCATAAAAAGATAAGAATGGGACTCATTCAAAGTTTCTAGAACCATTCACCAGCATCACTTAGTTATGGTCTATTAACTTTAATCAAGAGCTCTCTTCCAGTTATTTATACAAACACCTTGTGTTATCCCTTGAAATTCATTTGTGATGCTCATGGTCTAATTTTTATTAGTCATTTCAATTTTGATGTTTTCAACTTCATCTGGTTAATTGAGATTTCTTTACCATTGTTCAATGTTCATATTGAGAATTATAAATATCCAATAAAGTTGTACTGGTTTTGCTTGCTTTATACAGGAACTTATGTGTGCTTACATTGCTTGCTTGATTGGTGTGTGTTTTCTGAAAAAATATAGATAAAGTTAAATTGGATTGGAAAAAGGAAAATGATTTTGAAAATCTCATGGATTGCATTTGTGTAATCACTAATGGAAAGATAGTTGAAGACATAGCAGTTGTGCATGGGTTGAGAGTAGTGCTATATGAAGGTGGCACTACTAGCACAGACACAAAAGTACGATGGTGGTAGGGACCGGTTATGCCGTAGCCACTGATACTTCAATGGTACTATTGTTGTTGAATTTAGTAGTTAGATGGTAGTAACAAGAAAACCAGTGGTCCTAATAATAGAAGCCAATGTCTATAATTTGGAGTTTAGAGTAATATCAATAAGTTGGTAACACCGTGCATTAGTAACTACTGTCCTAGGGAAGATATCCAAGTGTCCAACCAAACTATAATGGGGTTCAAGTCGCTGTAACAGGACAACGTGGCTTTATGAGTTTTTTGTCGGGGGGAAAAGAATATGGTAATCGGCGGTATATGAGAAACGATTGAGTTGACATGTATTGAAAATGAGATCAATTCAACAACTAGTAATTGCAGTATAGGTGAACCGGAGGTTTCTCTCTCAATATTTTGCACTCCACTTCTATTTTACCTGTCTTCCATCTTTCATTTATTCAACTGAAGAACAATACATTAAGAACACAAACAGTCAAGATTATTTTTTTCCATGCAACCATATGCAAGTTGGTAGTCAATTGTATGCACAAAAATGTTGCTCCTAGGACGTTGGTTGTGGTGCATGCTGCTCCTAAGAAGTCTTGGATCCCACTGTTAAAGGTGGGGGCAACTTCATGGACTCTGAGTGGGTAGATGGCCTGTAAGTATTTCTCTCTACATGTGTGTGTTAATTGAACCATTCTAGTTTCTCTCTCTCTCTGAGCTTTTCTAGCATGATTGGTTAATTAGGCAGTCTGTCAAGTGGACCACTTCATGGTCTAAAACTGTCAAAAAACTTTGCTAATGCAACTGGCGATCAAGTCTACCCATGTTGCAAATTCTTCAACCCATTAAGCTCTGCCGGCACAATGAAGGACGATGTTTACATTCCGGACACTAATAAGCTTGAAAGATTGAAGTGGGATGAGATTAAGCATGCAAAGATTGATGCATTTGAATCTCTGCGTAGTTCGATTTTTTTTTTTTTTTTTTTTCTCTTTTTTTTTTATACCTTTTATTTTCAATTTTTTTTGGATTTGGATCATGATATTATGGTTGGACTAAGCTGCTGACTCAATTAAGTACTTTTTTATTTTTATTTTTATTTTTTTATTTTCGGAGGAAAGAATATCATATTGGGTACTAGGATTGAAACCTCGATTTATATATAACTTTGCATATTAATTTGCTTAATTTTCATGGTTTTTTTTGCTGCTTCTTGGCTGTGGCAGCACTTGCTTCAAATTGAGTATCATATTGACTACCAAATTGATCAAAATCCTGATATACAGATCTATTTTGTGTGTATATATCTAGACTTGTCTGTCTTAATATAAATGTTCATATATCCTTATAAACATTTGTTTACATAAAAATTAATTATTTTCTAATTTAAATGAATGACCAACAAAATTGGAATTGTAATTCAATTCCATATGAATTCCCAAGTTAGTCCAAACAGCAGATTTGGTATTGAATTGGTTGAATTCCAATTCCATGGAATTGAAATTCCAATTTAATCCCAATTCAGTGCAACCGAACGCACCCTAGTACCAAATCCATATGGAATTGTTCTAAAATAAAAACCATATAAACCACCCTCTCCCTTGATCGCTCGCTCAATGACACCACACAATCGACATGGGTCTTCCATGGAACCTAACTCCAAATTGTTCTATCTCAAACCTAGCTCAATTTTAGCACTTCCGCATTAATCGTTCCTTTCGAACCCTAGCTCAAGATTGACTTCGACAATCACCAGTAGTAGCAATGAGTTCGAAGTTGTTGCAAGACTTTTCTCACCATTAGTAGAATAGTTTGAAACTAAAGATAAACAAATCCTAGTAGAAACTTAGTAAATCTATTATTCATCTGATACACATTATATATTATATATTGCTATTAGGAAATTGATTCACGTGTCAGCATATTCCTCGTCAAAACTTATGTATAGTTGTGTTATAGTGTTTATTGAGGTTATTCATTAAACTTCTGATCAAGACAAAGTAGACATGGCATTTGAAGTTAAGATTATGCAAGCATGCATCATCAACTTCACTGAAGGCAAGAAAGACACAAGGTGACATTTTAATATTCAATCACTTAGCTATACTACAGGTAATGACCTAGGTTGTTTCTAGGTTAGATTATAATTGGGATTGGGTTGTGAGAACATATTTTCAAAACTTGAGCATTCTAGGTTTATCATGTTTCAAAGTTTTCTAAACATACTTGAGTATTAAGAAATGTATTGAAAGTCATGTATACAAGTAAAATCTTTTATACTTGTATGATAAGAAGTATTTTGAAAACCATTTAAAGATGTTTTAGGTTCATGCATACATGCATTATATACTAAGTTTTCAACTTTCTTAAAACTTACGTAGTCATTGCTTATGCCATTAACAAAAATGGTTTTTCAGGCATATATATTGTAATGAACGATTTTCAAATTTTATAAAACTTGTATCTTTAAAATGCATGAAGGAAGCTTTTTAAACCATTTTAGGCATTTACATGTTCTTTGATCTAAGCAAAGTAGAGCTTCGATCAAAGTTTTTAGAATGTATATAGGTGTCTTTCTGTATTTCTTATAAGGGCATGTTGGTCATTTTACTGTAACATTATTTTAATTTATTCATAGATACAAGTGAGGGGATCATAAACTCTCTTGGAGAAATATTTCCCAAATACAGTCTTCTCTCTTTCCTTCTCTTGAACCTAATTTCAATATGGTATCAGAGCGTGTTTCATCAATACCATTTTAGTAACCAGTAATCATTGTTGATCATTCATTGTTGTCGGTTGTAGATGTTGTGAATGAAGTTGTTTGTGATTGTTAGATTGTTTAGTGGATGGTGTAGTTGTTAGTTGTTGTTGTCACTAAGATCCTTGTCGTTAGTTGGTGCGATTGTGGTCGTTGTTGAGTCTCGTTGTTGGCATCTGTTGTCGCTACATCGTGCAGCCAGTGTTGTTGCCGGCATCGGTAGTTGTAGTCATGTGTTGTGACTAGGGTTATTTGCTTTGGAAACCCTATTGCAGAAGGTTTGTGAAGAAGACCTGCTATTATTACCCACAAATCTGACCCAGCTGAAGTAAAACCAGATCCGATTTGATCCAATCATCCAACTAAGTCGATCCAGCTGAAGAGACCCGGATTTGATCTACCAACATTAAATTTTTTTTTTTTTCTCTCATTCAACTTCTGGCCTGTCCAATTTCCAGCCTTCTAGTTCCGACCAGATCGAAGCCATATGCTGCCATGCCCCATCAGCCTTCTTCAATGTCTTTGGATCAGACACCATCTGTTGCATCCGACTCTTTGCCTATTGCTCTTCGTAAAGGTACTCGGTCTTGTGTCACTAATCATCCCATTGCTAATTGTTTCCTATAAATGCTTGTCACCATCTTTTTCATGTTTCTCCTCCAAGTTATCTACTACTTTTATTCCTAAGAACATACAGGATGCTCTATCTAATCCGAGTTGGCAACAAGCAATAGATGATGAAATTGAGGCCTTACATCATAATGGAACGTGGGATCTTGTTCCACTGCTTCCTAGTACCAAGGCCATTGGTTGTAAGTGGGTATTACTATCAAATATATTCCCGGTGGTTCTATTGAGCGGTTAAAAGCTCGACTTGTTGTTAAGGTTAATGGCAGACCTATGGAGATGATTATAATGCGACATTTTCCCCTATTGCCAAAATTTCTTCAATTCGGGTTCTAATTTCTCTTGCTGCTAATTTTAATTGGCGCTTGTTTCAGTTGGATGTTAAAAATGTCTTCCTACATGGCAACTTAGCTAAAGAGGTCTATATGGAGCAACTACCTGGGTTTATTGCTTAGGGGGAGTATCGTCACAGTGTTTGTCGCCTAAATAATGCCCTGTATGGATTGAAACTATCCCCAAGGGCTTGGTTCGTAAAAT